TTTTTTTTTAAATTTTTTTTTCCAAAAAATGGCAACAGACAATTTGAAATAAAAAATATACGAAAAAATTGCCGACGTAAACAATTTTTTTCATCAATCAAAAATAGCATTAATGGCACAGAGTTGACGCGAAAGGCGCTTGGCGCTGACTGGTACACGTTTTTTTTTTCTCATTATAATTATTCTTTTATTTTTCAATTTTGCTTCTTTTACTCTTCAGCTTCAAGCATTTAATTTCTTAAATATATTCGTTGTAGTTTTTTTGCCACTTAAGTGTGTGCTTAGCAAAAAACAAAAAAAAAAAATAACAAAATATAAATACACAATTTTTGGACAACATTTTAGAGCGTTGCCCAGAGATGGAAACAACAAGTGACACTAAAAAGATTAATTAAAAAGAAACAGTTGGTTTCTGTAGAGGTTAAGAATAAGTTATGCATAGAAGTCAGCGGAAAAACAAAACAAGGTGTCACAAATCCAAATGCGTAAATTCAAATGAATGCTCATGCCCTGCCAGCGAGCATCATGTGCTGAACACAATGACCGCGACAGACTCCAGCAGCACGACAGTGAACTGAAAATGGCGTTGCGAATCCTACTACATGGACATTTGTAAGAAGGCAGCAGCATAAAATGGTCAGCATGTACACAAAACAACGCAGTTGTCCATTTTGCATGTACACAATTTCATTGTGGCCATACTAATACCTTGCACTTCAATGAAATTTTAATATTTTGTTCAAAGTGAAATTTTTTAAGCAAAAAATAAGTAAATAGGTAAATTTATTTGTTTTAAATTATCAATTGTTATTACAAATTATGTAACAGAGAAATTTTAAGCTTTTATTTGTAAAATAACGTCAGGTTTGTTAGAGCTTTAAATAATTTTACATTTTACATATTAGTGGCATCACCACTCTACCTAATCTCTCTACTGTCGTCTTACTGTCGTTGGCAAATATAGAAATATATTGAAGTTAGCGAGAACGACAACTGTCGGCCTGCACTTGTGTAGTCGTGTCAATAAGAACGTGTGTATTTTAATATTTGATAGATTTCGTGTGCAGTCTGTCGCGATCATTGTGTTCGGCACATCAGGTTTATCAGCCAACAAATCGAATTATGCGAAAATCAAGCGGATGAGATTGAAAAAAAAGTATATATGAGAAACAGCTGTTTTTGAGCGCCACTTGCGGAGAGCTAGGAGAGAATTTTGTCATTGCGAGCGTTATGGGATAGAGASCAAGCGTTAGGAGTTGAGAGCAAGAGAATGAGATAATTGCGAATTAAAAATACAGCAGTGCGCGAACAAATGATCTTTCGTTCACTTATGTTTACGCTCTAACTGYACTTTTATGCACAGTTTAGTTGTAATARTTYCGYATCCTCGATAGTATAGTGGTCAGTATCCCCGCCTGTCACGCGGGAGACCGGGGTTCAATTCCCCGTCGGGGAGTCCTAATAAGTAAGTTCCTACTACTTAGTTTTTTGAGTACTATTTTACTTTAATATATTTTTTTTAAATATATACGGATATTTTTAAGAAATAAAATATGAACTAATATATGATATGTATGTAAACATCTATGTGTATTTTTTGTGCATCAATTRATTATATGCAAATAGTGTATAGTAAATAAATAGTTTAACATTGAGATAGACATTAAAATTATTATACGTTGAAATGTCGTTTTCTAATTTTTTTTTTTTCAAACTATTAATTTCAAATAAAAATAATGAGATAGCAAAAGAGTAATGTTGACAACTTAGTAAATACTTTGATAAATGTGGCCAACTTCGTCACGTTCTATGAACAACAAAACAAAATCTTATCTCTGCACGTAGTGTTTACTGTAATGATTTTGAGTGTCGATATAAATATATMTATGGATGAATTTACAATTCCCAATACATATTTGTTCACCTAACAGGTGCTCCAAGTGGAGATACTTTACTCAATAGCATTTTTTTGACAGCTCACGCGTGAGTCGTGTCAAGCTGTCACCATCACCCATCTTGAGACTGGGTTCATTATTGGATAWTATTCGACTGAATAGAGCACATCCAGCACGCAGTGAAGACCTTCGATCTTCAAATGCGACATCGCTTCGAYCTATAGGCTCTTGAACAGTTCCAAAAGATCCCACATTTTCGAACAAACATTTTTTGAGCTTTTAAAGTAAATTTTTTAGGTATGTAAGCAAGTAAAATTGCCGCATTTGGGACGAAGAGCAACCTGAAGGGCTTCAAGAACTGTCATTTCATACCAATAAACGGCGGTTTGGTGTGGTTTGTGGGCCCGTGGACGTTCCCAAGCGACATCGCATCGCTCTATGGGCTGCTAAAAAGTTCCACGAGCCAAATTTTGTTCAACGACGGGGTCCACTTCTGACTCAATGGGTATGTAAGAAGTATTAAAAATACTTCGAAATGTACAACTTGTTTTAGTTGGCATCACCGATACTTTTTGTTGATATGAAAATGTATTTTTATGTCTAATCACTCAATTAGCGCATAGAAAATATCGTTATCACACTAAAGTGTTTTATCAATGTTCRTGGTTGTTGGTGTAAATTATTGCGAACAATTATGAAATAGCAAAATATTGATAATTTTGTATTTAAAAATAATTGAAGTGGTCGATGATTAGATATCGATAAAATATCTTCATCAGAAATAAAAACAAAACGGTTGCCACCTGGTAATAATATGAACAAATATATTTYGAAAATAAAAACAAGACAAGAACAGAAAGAACCGAAGCTATATAACCTTCACAAATAAAAACTATAGTTTTTAAGAACTTGCTTTTATGGGTCAATTT